GGACCTATTTTATTTGCACATGATTAAAAGGGTAATGAAAAAGACTGTTCAAAATTGCATTGTGATAAGAAAAATTAAAAGTTGATGATGGTTAATGAAAACGAAACCCGTCTTAGGATTTTTGACTTGGAAATTTAATAAAGCTATTTTTAATTTTAATATTATTGGGATAATGGACTTGCATTTTTTCCTCATTTAAGCTATCCTAGACCCATGTTCTTTATTCGAAACCGTTGTCTAGATCACATCAATTTTGAGGGTCGAATTTGAAATGCCCGGTCTAGACTTCAGGTTCCCGATTTTTATATTATTATTTGTAAAGTCAAAAATCAATGAGAATTCGTTGTTTCAAAAATGACCTGGCAATAAGTTTTTTTAAAACTTTGGGATAGAAGACTCAAAAGAAATTGGTTTTTAAACACACTGTAATATAAAATGATATGAATGAAAAATTGGAAATATTTACTTCATTTCAAATTTTTTAAATTTAAAACTTCGTCTAAAATAACGAGATAATTGATTTACTTAAGTTAATAGAAATAGTACATTATGCAACAAGTGCGGTAATAGTATACTATGCAACAAGTACGGTAAAGCATTTGACTCACGAGTTGATTTGACACCAGCGGAGAGTAGCGGAGCGAGTTTTCAGTAAAAAAAAAGAAAATTTTATAAATTTAGTTTCTGTCAAATATTACTGATATTACACGAACTAGCAAAAATAGTATATTATGCAACAAGTGCGGTAAAAAAAAGCGGAGCGAGTGTTTAATTTACGAGTGAGTTAAAAAGTTTACCGAACGTGTTGCATACTATACTTTTTCTACGACCGTTAGTTTTGCGTACATTTTCGCAAAACAACGCGGATACATTCACTGACAGAATTGACAAACGTCAAAATTCAAAGCGTAGGAAATATCTCCGAAAACATCCGATTGCTCCCAAATCCGTGCGGTAAAATCCCGGAAATATCCGAAGTGGTTCGGCTCGTGGGAAACGAAACTGACCTGGTAGAGTGACGCTTCCCGCAAGCTAGATGGGTGGGTAATTAGTTATTTTACAGACGGAAGCAGAAAAACGGGATTTGACTCACGAGCGGAGCGAATCTTTAATAAACGAGTCACTTAAAAGTTTAACGAACGTGTTGCATACCAGACTTTTTCTACGACCGTCAGTTTTTGGATACATTTTCGCAAAACAACACGACTTAATTAACTGATATGATCGTCAGAATTGACAAACCTCAAAATTCAAAGCGTGGGAAATATCTCCCCACACATCCGATTGCTCCCAGACACGTGTAGCAAAATCGAATGTGAAACGAAAGTGGCGTGGTAAAGTGACGCTTCCCGCACGCTAGATCGGTATGTAATTAGGTATTTTACAGACGGGAGTAAAAAAATATGTTTTAGCAATAGAATCTGTGTTAACTCTTAAACAAATTGGATGGTTGTTAACTCTTCACGTGTCATTTATATCAAGCAACGTCCATTTCGACCATAATTTCAACAGTCATGTTATACGCATTCCTGCACGTTATTTAACTTTAAATAAAACTGTTTTTTTAAAAATTAAATGTCACCAAAATATTTACCAAATAATGACCTAATATAACTCCTTTTCTCTTAAAAAAACCTCTGAAACCACCCTCATAGATAGTGACCGTCTGTATTATTTATCTATATAGCTGAACCATAAAAATCGTGTCATTCAGCTATATCTAACCGAACATAACGGCAATAAATATTTAAAGCTTCAATCTTTTAATATCATAAAACAATTAGTTAAAAATCGCGAGTCAAACAAAGGGTCAAAATGGTTAAAAATGTCGATCACAGTTATTGTGTGCACAATTCCTTTTTATCTATGCATGTTGCTCCATGATATAACAAGGATCAACAGATCACATTTTTAAAATCATACACACGCTCGTCAGCATAGACACAAGACTAGTCGATTAATAGATTTCTACACGACACTTGTTTCCACCGCAAATATTTTTCCCCTTTTCCCGATCGCGTGGCATATCGAAAATCGTGCATAAAAAATTGACGCGCACTCCCCGACGCATAATTGCCAAGTTATCTTTAATTGACGGACGAGGGATCATATATTCGCACAACTTGTCATTAAAATTCTCGCCTCAATTTAAAATTTATCTATAAAGTGTCACTCTAGGGCAATCAAGTCAGGCCATGAATTTTTGAAATGCATTCGGTTTTTAATTTTCGGTTTTCCGCTTAATAACCCCCGTTATATTTTATATATTTCTATGTATTATTTAATCGTCGAGGGTGGGATTAAAATTAAATGAAGAAAGTGAGTTCCTATATAATCACAAACCCTACAAGTGAATTAATAATGCAACGCTATGTAACAAGTAACATTCGATTTGAAAACTGCATCCTTTATTTAATACAATCGTCTTACAGGGAGATCAAATACAGGATGAAGCGATAGTACGGCAACTTTTACTAATAGTTTCGATTATATTCGGCGTTTCATAAAAACATAACATTAAAAAGATATTTTATAATGATATTTAGGCTCAATACTCAAAAATACCCAATATTAAGACGTTTACTAGTGCGGTTTCAGAAGCTTCCGAGTTTTGAAGTGATCGAATGTCTTCGATAGATTTTAGCTGCGGATAGTATTTCGACATTTATTAATTCTGTCTTACAAAAATGTACTCAAAAACTAATGGTTGTAGAAATATTATAGTATAGAACACTAGTTTTGAGACTGTTCAATTGACCACTTCTTAATTGACCGACAACAGACAACTTCTTAATTGACTAGTCAAATTCAATCAAAATGTTTTCAATAACAATTGTTGAGTGTTATCTACCATTATTTTTTTGACACAAAAAAAATTGACCGGCCAATTCCACAACCCTATGCAACGCGTTGATAAATTTCCTCAGTCACTGGAAATACTGTCTACCAAACTTGTTGCATAATATACTATTGTATCGAACCTTTCAGTTGCTATCTTTATTACGCAGCCTAAATGGCAATGCTAAATAATTATCTATTAATTATAACTAAATAAGTGCAATTATAAGTACCGTTTATGAAACTTCTTGCATATCAAACTATTGTATATCATGATTCCTCAAGGAAATGACACCATATTTTTGATTTTTAATACCACATTACCAACTACAAAAATTAAAGCAGATTTCTCTAAAGCCTTGCCAATTTGCAGAACTTTAATTTATTTTATTCAGTTATTTCCCTCGTATCCATATATATCGATTCAAGTGCTTTCGCAAAATTTATTTTAATTTATCACATTATATTATGCAACAGGAATGACACTTTAGTTACGAGTTTGATTTAGCTTTAGCGGAGAAAGAGTGTCTGAAATTGTTGCACATTATGCTATTGTATATTATAATTCCTCAAGGAAATGATACCATGTTTTTGATTTTTACATTACCAACAACAAAAATTAAAACAGGTTTCCCTAAAGCCTTGCTAATTTACAGAAACTTAATTTATTTTATTCAGTTATGGCCCTGTATCCATATTACTAAGACTTCCCTATGCCTGTCGATTCAAGCGTATTGGTAATATTTATTTTAATTTATCATATTATATTATGCAACAGGAATGACACTTTAGTTACGAGTTTGTTTTAGCTCTAACGGAGGAACAGTGTCTGAAGAAGTTTGTGTTGCATACTATACTGTTCCTACGACCACTGAGTAACCGTGATGTGTGACTAACAGATCTGCTACGTCAAAATACCATATTTTTTTAAATCTAACGAAAACATGCGATCGCTCCCAAACCCGTGACTAAAGTAACGGAAACACTCGAATGAGTCGAGGAGAGTGTTTAACGAAGCTGGGATAGTTGCGCACAGTTGATCTCAGTGCATAATTGGTTATTTTAGAATACGGGGTAGAAAAAATCCATTAGAATTTACATTCTAATTTTACATAATAGAATAAATACTCTGTGTGCTTGAAAATACGTCTTTGTTACTACAAAATATTGTTTTGGTTAACAAAGCAACAAAATAAACTGAGCATGGCCTTCGAAAGGCAACTACAATAATATCGATACGTTGTCAATAAATACACTGTTATCCTGAAGCTTCTTTTTAGTTCAAATTGATCATGGTCTTAAAAATAGTTCTAAAGCTTGTAAAATTAAATATCAATATAATTTTTTAGGTGATACTAAACTATCAGTTTTTAATTCAGCGGGAAACTCTTCTAATCTACGAATTTGGTGACACTTTAAAGAACGAGATGTAAAATATTGATTGAGTAACATTGACAATTTGTTATACCGATTAATAAAAATTTGGAAAAGTTAATTTTATGACATTAATTCTAATTAAATAAATTTTATGAATGGATAAATTTACTGAATAAATTGAATGATTCTGCGTGTTTCTAAAGTTTCTTATTTATTTAGATTTAAAAAATGTTTGAGGCGACTGCAACACAATTCTATTCTATTGCATTCTATTTAAATTGTGCCATAGAAATCATTCAATTCGAAGTAGCAAGCCTGGTAAAGGGGATGTAAATAGGGCAAGGTGCGTTCTAAATAAAGAGATACATAAGAGACGCAACAACTTACAGCAGATTGAAATTTAATATTTTCAAAAAATTGTAAGAAAAGAGCGAACAAATGTGATTTAAAAAAATGTATTCAAAAATAACACAGTGAAAACAACTAAAAATCATCAATCATTTTAATACTGACATATCCTATGGCAGCAATCGTCCATTATAAATAACAAACATCAAAAAAGTAAATCAATATAGGCTAGTGACTAGAACAAAACGAGTTCTAAAACACATTACGTTTATTGTTAAATATTTTACACATAATGATACACATAATGACGTAAAATTGAAATCAATCAATCACTGAAGAAAATTTAAATAAAAAAATTATATGCGAAAGCAAGCGCAGTACGAAAACTACAAATGCGAGCGAGACGGAAATATTTTATTTAAATCGTAATTACGCACCATTGTAGAGTATGGTAGTCCCATGCGGAGAAGTCGGTGGTGGGCTAGGCGCCGTGGCCCCCTCTGTGGGACTGGACGGACCCCAGCACGCCGCTCCCGGCTCGTCGCCCACCACGTCTATCTCTTCTTCGTCGTCGTCGTCGTGTCGGTGCTCTTGGGGTCGCTCCGGCCACGGATACGCTTTCCACTTTTTTGCCATCAAACACCGCGGCATTCTTATACATAACCCCACAACGGTTGCCCCCTGCGCACTGTTTTCCGTCTACCGTTTGTCTCAAAGTCCCCGAAGAGCCATTTGATGTTTTCGACGAAACAAAAAAAAATCATTAGACGTGTGAACGATGGAAAAAGTTTTCAAAGTTTCAGCACAGTGTGTTTGTTGAGATAGCGAGAGCGAAAAGAGAGGAAACAATGAAAGAACTAAACTAAACGAACACCCTCGTGATTTTGGATGTGCGCCCTGTCGCGGCGCGGGTTTTATATATAGAATAAGGGTGGAAGTGTGGTGGTGGGGAGGGCGCACAGTGTGCTGCGATGGCAGGCGTCACGGCGCTATGCGGGCGGCGGGACGGGAACCCGAAAGGGGTGGCACTGGTTGCTTCTTATACGCGCGACTGTTGAAGGTGCGTTTTTTTTTCTTCTCGTTTACACGAGGACTTCGCCCGGCGGCGGCAACAGTTTACGTGTCGGGGAATACCGAAAACGGACAAGTTTCCTCTTAACTCGATTTAGACAAAAACGTTTATTTTATTCCGGTTCCGATTGGGGGGGACTTTTTCGCAAAACGATTGATCCAATTCGATTACGGTTACGGTGGTTACGTTTTCACTAATTTCGAAAAAAAAATAGTAGTTTAATAAATCGCGAAAGTGCCATTTTACTGGAACCATAGATATAGTGAGAGAAAATACGATTTGCTCTCGGTTGGGCACGACTGCTGTGGTCATTCGCACATTTTCCGACATACGCCGAGGATTTTTCCTTTGGTCACAGACCAACACCCAAAAAAAGAATATAAGCAATATTTGTTCTCAGCTAGCAAAAGAGGATTTTGACCGATACCAAAAAAAAAACGGCTTCCCCCGCTTCCACAACGGATCATCCGGGCCCATCACTTTAACACTTTAATACATTCACTAAACACTTCCGGAACAACAATCACACGAAAAAAGAAACGATGTCAGAGTTTTTGGGACAATGGACTCTGCAGGGAGCGAGGGGAGAATAACCATAGATATATATGTAATCAAGGGAAATAGCATTGTTTCATTTCAACGTTGCCAGTGCTGGATATCACTGTTGTTTTTGTACCCATACGCTATACATAAAATAATGTTTTTCTACTCCCGTCTGTAAAATACTTAATTACCCACCGATCTAGCGTGCGGGAAGCGTCACTTTACCACGTCAGTTTCGTTTCCCATGAATCCGAGCCACTTCGGACATTTCCGGGATTTTACCCCACGGATTTGGAAGCAATCGGATGTTTGCGAAGATATTTCCCACGCTGTGAATTTTGACGTTTGTCAATTCTGACAGACATATCAGTGAATGTATTCGTGTTGTTTTGCGAAAATGTACCCAAAAACTAACGGTCGTAGAAAAAGTATAATATGCAACACGTTCGGTAAACTTTTTAACTCACTCGTTTATTAATAAACTCGTGAGTCAAATGCCGTTTACCGCACTTGTTGCATAATATCCTTTTTTTACATGAGTTAACAAAATGGCTTGGTAATATTTCATTAAACAATACTAATAAAATTACGGGATTACTTTCGAAAAATCGTCGCTGAGCGGGGCGAATTCTTGGCGCGTATTTCAAAAAGAAACTGCTTCGCGGTTCCTTGATCTAGAGAGACGCATTGTTTTTCTATCGTGCTCCTGCGGACCACTATAGAACTTTCGCAAAATCGATGTAATTTTATTGTGCATACACCCTGTATAAACCGTCTGCCACGTCTCGCTGAACTTCAAAGTTATGGCAAACTTTGATAAATATTAAAATTTGTACAAATTATTTTTTCATATATCTCGCTAACCCTGTATGATAAATGAATCCTGAAACTCTTTCTCGACATAGTTTAAGATATTGTTCAAATCAAACTATCGCATTTTTAACAGTTTTTCATTTATCGCCAATAATTTACCCACAAAAACGGAAATTTTTAGGATCTTTTAGTTTTTTTTGTCCATAAAAGACAAACCTTGTATATAATTCAAACAATTTTCGGAATAGAGCTTGTAGCTCTGGATCTCCTACGTTTCCTGATATATGAATTTTTCCAGTAGAGTAAATGCAGTACGCTGTAATAATGAATGACGTCATCGCGTCTAGATTGAGTTTGAGGAATAGCGATTTTTATATGCATTTTTTTTTAAATATCTCGAGCAGCGTCTGTGATAGACAAAAACCGTAAATACAAAAATTATAGCTCTCGATATGGCCTATATAAGCTGTTTAAACCAATTAGCCATATTTTTTATAAATTTTGATTTAGGGCAAATAATTTACTTTGGAAAAGAACAATTTTCAGGATCTTTTAGATTTTTGTCTATAATTTAAAAACCCTGTATATAACCTAAAAAATTTTCGAAATAAAAGTTATAGTACCGGGTCGCTTGCGTCGTTTGGTTTAAGAATTTTGCCGATCGGGTAAACAGTTTTCAGAAAAATAATTTTTTCTGGGAGTCAAAATAACCCAAATTTTTAAACAAATTCTTCGCGATATTTGATGGCGGCCAGTTTCAACAATTTAAATGCCGGTGTAGACTTCTACTTCTCTGCCAAAGTTGAAGTCAATAGCTCCAAATTTGAGACACCTATTATATTTTTGAATGTAGTACAGAATATCCCGAATTCCATCTACAATACGCAAAAACCATAACTACCTGTCCGTACTAGCTATATCGTCGTGTGAAAGAAACTGACAGCTAAAACACAGCGTTTTATTTGTGTCAATTATCATTACACGTGGAACACAATTTTCAGTTTCCACTTTTAAAAAATTATCAAAAATAAAGGATTTTGGTATTGGCTTTTATTTCTTGCATATTTTACCAAAATATGTGATACACAAAACCAAACTTAATAGCCTGTATGATTGCTTCTTCTTTCCAATTGTCCAATGCGTCTCGGCATGCCGCGTGTCCCTCGTAGGTTCCACTCTTCTTGAACAGCAACAGTTAATTCCTGATGGGTCCCATAAGGCTTTTCTTGATTGGATATTGGTCTGCCAAGATAATCCCATATATGTTCATGAAGTATATTTTCGTTCCTATCCACCTAGACCCTTCCAGACCCTCTCCCGTCGACTATCACTGTGTAGACAAATCGTGATTCATTGCGCTGTTTTGACAAAAGCCAATCCTTGTGTTCTTGAGCAAATTGAAGACGATCAGTTCTATGTCTAGGTAAAAGTATAGATACTCTCAAAGGTCTTCTTTACCGTCAGATTTGCCGAATATCTCCCTTTTATAGCACTTATTGAAATTATCCGTCGGTATGTTCGCAAAAAATGACCTCAAGGCGCCGGTAAAGATATTCCTTTGAGTGAAATTAGCCATACAAATGTGCTCCCTCTTCGTTATCACTTTATACACAAAAAAAGGCAAATGTAAGTTAAACAACCCTCAAGCTAACAGGGTGCCAGACTTTGGTGGGATTTGTGATGTGGTTGTGCTCCCTCTTCGTTATCACTTTATACACAAAAAATGGCGAATGTAAGTTAAACAACCCTCAAGCTAACAGGGTGCCAGACTTTTGGTCGGATTTGTGATGTGGTTTGCAAATTTTTCAAATTTGTTTAAATTTTACAAACAATGATTACGCCTCTCGGGAATTATATTCTCCTATCTTACGTGGTTATCATACTAACCAACCATTCATATGTAGACAATACTCCTCACCCACTCGTCCTTTATCTAAACAACAATATTTGCATCAAAGCAACAGCAATTTTTTAAGTGACTTATGCGCACTTTTTTAGTTGGACATCTGTGACTGGTATAAGAGGAAGTCTAGAAATTCAGTAATATTACCTACAATATGCAGTAAGAACATCCTACGACGACGATATAGACTACAAAAGGGGAAATTATTTACTTACCGCCACCAATGAATATGGTTACTGGTCGTATTAGCTTAATAGCTGACATTTATTGGCTATGCTTTTACAAAACAAAAATACAAAATTCACATTGATTGCAAATAATCAAACAAAAAATTAGAAAATTTACCAACGGCAAATTACAGCACGAGTACGTTCACTGAGTTATGTGTGACGTGGCCGTCAGAACTGACAAACGTCAAAAAAGTGTTAAAACTTGTCGAAAATATCCAAACCCGCGATTAAAGTACATGAAACGCAAGCAGTGGCTCGTGAGAGTGTTTAATGAACCCGGCATCTTAAAGTGACACTTTACGCACGCTTGATCGGTGCGTAATTGGTTATTTTAAAGCAGATGGTAAAAAAAGGTTTTTAGGTTACATCATTTTAATGTCAACTAGGATTTTCCGGCCAAAAAGAAAAACAATTATAAAATGTTTACATGCAATGCCGACAAATACCACAATTTTATTGTCAAATAGGGATCCTCGTATTTTTTATTGATTGTCAAAAAATTATTAACAATTAATTAACAATTTAAAATAAACCGTTCTAGCTTTTAATCGAAATAGCATGCAACAAGTTCAAAATGTTTTGAACGAGTAGAGACAGATAGTAGATATTTTATAACGTACTTATGATTCTGCTCTCCATGATGTAACTCAATAGTCGAACACCACAACAACACCAAGCAGTACAAAAGCAATGAAAAACCTGTTTAAATGTCAGAATCGTGCCTTGTTTCTTGGTTGCTATAGAAATATTCTTTCGCCTGTACCTGACTAGGAATTCATTTCTTTTCTCAATGGCGGTCAGGTTCTTCAGTCTTATCTTCATCGGTAAATGTACCTAAAAATATTTACCACACAGGCCTGACCCCATGGCTAGATCTGTGTAGTTTTTTTTTTGGGAGAGAGCTCCTTTTTGAAAGTGAAAGAAAAAATCTAAGCACACGGATACGGATACTTTTTGCCGACGTGACGCAACATTAATAAAGACGAATTTAAAGCAATAACTGGAGTTATAAACGCTTTGATACTGTAAACTGCTGAGTAAAAGTTCCCATACATATTATATTACTTGCTTCTCAAAGTGTCAGCAATTTGTCTATATAAAACCACGGTGCGAACCACATCGCTAGCTTTTTTGTCATCTCGCTTGAATAAAGTTTTTTAAAAAATCAAATTCGTTTTCCACGACGAAAACTGGCGCAGTCGGTAGGATTGAAAAACTCACCCTCGACGTTCCAACGTGTTATGAATAATGTGCTAAGAGGCTTCCAAAACGAAATCTGTTTAGTATATTTAGATGATATTATAATTTTTTCCACATCCCTACAGGAACACATTGATCGATTAAGAAAAATTTTTCAGAGACTAAGGGAGGCAAACTTTAAAATTCAATTAGATA